GGAGAGCAGGCGCCAGTAGATGTACCCGCGGTCCCGCAGGTCGGGGTTGTCCGAGTCCTTTGGGAAGCCATGGGGAGCTGCAGCTGCTACAGGGATACTCGGAGCAGCTGCAGCTACTACAGAGATACTCAGAGCAGCTGCAGCTGTTATGGAACTACTCGAAGCAACTGCAGCTGCTAAGAAACTACTCGAAGCAAGTGCAGCTACTACAGAGCTGATCAGAGCAACTGCAGCTACTCAGAGAAACTGCAGCTACTACGGAGCTACTTGGAGCAAGTGCAGCTACTACAGAGCTGCTTGGAGCAACTGTGGCTACTACAGAGTTGCTTGGAGCAGCTGCAGCTGCTATGGAGCTGCTCAGAGCAACTGTAGCCACTACAGAGATACTCGGAGCAACTGCAGCTACTACAGAGCTGCTCGGAGCAACTGCAGCTACTTGGAGCAACTGCAGCCACTAGAGAGATACTCAGAGCAACTGCAGCTACTACAGAGCTGCTCGGAGCAACTGCAGCTACTTGGAGTAATTGCAGCTACTACAGAGCTACTCGGAGCAGCTGAAGCTACTACAGAGATACTTGGAGCAAATGCAGCTACCATGGAAATACTCAGAGCACCTATGGCTACTACAGAGCTCCTCGGGGCAGCAGCAGCTACTACAGAGCTACTCAAAACAACTGCAGCTGCTACACAGCTGATCAGAGGAACTGTGGCTACTACAGAGCTACCCAAAGCAGTTGCAGCTACTACAGAGCTGCTCGGAGCAAGTGCAGCTACTACAGAGCTGTTTGGAGCAGCTGCAGCTACCACAGAGATACTCACAGCAACTGCAGCTGCTATGGAGCTGCTGAGAGCAACTGTAGTCACTACAGAGATACTCGGAGCAACTGCAGCTACTTGGAGCAAGTGCAGCTACTACAGAGCTGTTTGGAGCAGCTGCAGCTACCACAGAGATACTCAGAGCACCTATGGCTACCACAGAGATACTCAGAGCACCTATGGCTACCACAGAGATACTCAGAGCAACTGCAGCTGCTATGGAGCTGCTCGAGCAACCACAGCTATACAAAGCAACTGCAGCTACTACAGAGCTACTCAGAGCTGCTTTCCCCACCTAAGCCTTGCCAGGCGGGATCCCAGAGGCCAAAGGTGCCTCCTGAGCCATGGCAGTGCCCACACTACCCAGGCTTCCCAGTGTCACCGTTCCCAGAGGGTTTTAGGACAAGGGATGGAGGGACAGGACACAGGAATGGCTCCCTGTGGCTCTGAGTTGGGTTAATGAGTGTCTGAGGAATTTTTGTGGNGGGGAAAAGGAGGAAGGGGGAAAAGGGGAAAAAGGAAAGGAAGGACAGGCTGCTGCCACCAGGGAGAGCAGAAAGGAAAAGAAACTCCAAAGACAAGCCCCTAGGAAAAAGCCCCCCTGGAAAACAGAGGGGCAGCTGGAGGTTAGTGGGGAAAGGAACTCCCACAAACAAACAGCCCAGCTGCAAATGCAGCACCTGAGGGCCAAGGGGGCATAATTAGGGAAATGAATCCTCTAAAACATTAATGGGTAACTGGAGCCGTGGGGAATCACATAACTGCTCCCTGCTGGTGTGGGCAGCTCCAGGGCCCTGCACAGGCCAGGCAGGGTGAGGGGCTGATGGGTCCCTGTGGGAACCAGTAAAGGTAAGAAAGCTTCCAAAAAAGCTGTAAAAGCAGCCCCAGAAACAGAAAGAACAAAATCCTTAGAGCTAAGTTGTAGTTAGGAAGTCTGAAAGAAGAAATGTTATAATAGTACAGCAAGCAAGGACATGAAACAATAGATTAAGCCTTAAGCTTGGCTTAGACAGACCTTAAGACTACAAGAAAATAAATATGCTTAGCAAGACAGTAGAAGGTTTAAACTTAATAATAATGTAGTGTGTATTGTCCATTGAAAGAAGACAAGCAAACACTGTGTGAACAAGTATTCATGTACTTTTAGTAATTAGCTAGAACAATTATCTATAAACTTAGCTAAAAGTTTTTGAAGTATTCTGTAACAAAGAAATCTTGAGCTGCTACTGGCTATATATACATAAACTTTACCATCTTCCCATTGTCTCAACCATGTAATAAAGGTAATACAACAAATAAAACTCAAGAAATGCACCCCAACAGTCCCATCACGCTCATGAGTGAAAATTAAAAATAAAATAACCAGACCAACACAGCTCTGAGCACATCCCTGCCCCAAGGACAGACCCAGGAGCTGTCACAGGCAAGGGAGGGAAACATCCCAGGGTGCAGAAAGAGAGCCAGAGGCTGAGGATACCCAACCCAACAGCTCCAGAGCCTTGTGCTGGTCCCAGTTATCTCCTCACTCACAGCAGTGCTTCCCATCCTGCAGCCACGGGCACAGCTCCCATCCTTGTCCTCAGATCCCAAATCCCACAGCTCCCATCCCTGTGCTCATCCCACACCTCCCATCCCTCCACAAGCCCTCCCAGCAGCCCCACACACATTCCTGTAGGATATTTCCTCCCTGTCTGCCCTAACTGGAGCCAGTTTTTGCTGCAGCAGCTCAGGGCTGTGATTCTGCTGATCCCACCAGGACCATCCCCATCCTCTCACCAGTCTGTCACTGACCAAGCCATGGGCATTCCAAAAGGCTCCATCCCCACCAAACAAGGCATAACCTGGATAACTCAGGGGCAGGAGCCAAGCTCACTGTGCCACCAGCAAAGTGCTCGAAGCAAACCCAAAAAATCTTTGGCAGATCCAAAGCAGTGGCAGCAGCAAATGAGCTGCAAGCAATACATCCCATCAACCAATATCTGGGGAATAAATTAAAGAAACAAGGGAAAAGGACAACGCTGAGGTGTCCCCTGCCAGGATCCCACTGCCACAGAGCCCAGCGCTCTGAGAGCTGGGGGGATTTCAATCACCTTGAACTGGGATGGCACCCCCAAACTCAGCAGAGCATCTCAGGGACACCAAGGGCCTTGTCCTGGCCACAGCACCAGGTTCCTGTGGCCCAGAGGACGTTCTGCTCCTGGGACAGCCAGGTTCTGCTGTGGACACCTGGAATTCCCAGCCTGGCTCCATCCAAGCAAGGCCCAACACCTCTGGAAAGGCCCTTGGGGTGCCAAAGGCTGCTCAGCCTGGCAGTGTGACCCCACAAATGGGTGTGGGAGCCACAAAGCACACCAGTCCCACTGCTCATCCAAGGTTTGTCCCCTTTTCTGTCACCCCAGGAGACAGCAGACACAAAACATCTCCCATCCCTGCGCTCACTCCAAATTCCCACTGAGCCCCCTCTGCTGCGGGGATGGGACCCTGACAGGGGCCAGAACCCCACACAACACCTGCAACAACAACAGCAACACCCCCAACACGGCCCCCTCAGCCTGGAGCTGCCTCACAGCTCCTTTTTATCCACTTTGGGCCTTTTCCCCCCCAAATCTCCCTGGAGGAGGCAGCGAGCACAGGATATCAGCCTCCCTGCCTGCTCCTTGCCAGGTTTATTCCATGCACCTTTCCCTATGGCTGTGCCATGTCCTGGGGGGTGAAGGGCTCACCCCGTGTCCCCCAGCCCTTCCCGGGGGTCCTGTCCCCAGCNGAGAAGCAAAAACTCCCCAAAAGTGGTTTGTTAACACCAAAAAGACAATCTGGGAGGAAAGGAGTTTGTGGAGTTTTCCTGTAATCTGATCCTAAAACTCCTCCCATGGGACACCTGATAAACTCCCCAGCCCCGGGGCTGCTCTCTGGGGCTCTGCTTGGGCTCCTGGGCCTCTTCCTCCTGTTCCCCCTCCCCTGGCATGGGGTGGGGGAAATAAAATGGACTCTCGTGCTAAACAGTGAAGAGATTTTTAAAAAATTTAGGAGTTTTTTAAAAAAAAAAAGGCAAGACGAAAAGCAAGAAAGGAGGCAAGAAAGGAGGCAAGAAAAAAGGCAAGGAAGAAAGGCAAGGAAGGCAGGAAAAAAGGAGAGAAAAAAGGTAAAAAAAGGCAAGAAAAAACGTAAAAAAGGCAAGAAAAAAGGTTGAAAAAGGCAAGAAAAAAGGCAAAAAACAGGCAAGAAAAAAAGGTAAAAAAAGGCAAGAAAAAAGGCAAGAAAGGTGAGAAGAAAGGCAAGAAGAAAGGCACGGAAGAAAGGCAAGGAAGGCAGGAAAAAAGGAGAGAAAAAAGGTAAAAAAAAGGCAAGAAAAAAGGTTAAAAAGGCAAGAAAAAAGACTAAAAAAGGCAAAAAAAAAAGGCAAAAAACAGGCAAGAAAAAAGGTAAAAAAAGGCGAGAAAAAAGGCAAGAAAGGTGAGAAAAAAGGCAAGAAGAAAGGCAAGGAAGAAAGGCAAGGAAGGCAGGAAAAAAGGAGAGAAAAAAGGTTAAAAAAGGCAAGAAAAAAGGTAAAAAAAGGCAAGAAAAAAGGTTAAAAAAGGCAAGAAAAAGACTAAAAAAGGCAAAAAAAAAAGGCAAAAACAGGCAAGAAAAAAGGTAAAAAAAGGCGAGAAAAAAGGCAAGAAAGGTGAGAAAAAAGGCAAGAAAAAGGCAAGGAAGAAAGGCAAGGAAGAAAGGCAAGGAGGCAGGAAAAAAGGAGAGAAAAAAGGTAAAAAAAGGCAAGAAAAAAGGTAAAAAAAGGCAAGAAAAAAGTTGAAAAAGGCAAGAAAAAAGGTAAAAAAAGGCAAGAAAAAAGGCAAAAAAAGGCAAGAAAAAAGGCAAAAAACAGGCAAGAAAAAAGGCAAGAAAGGTGAGAAAAAAGGCAAGAAGAAAGGCAAGGAAGAAAGGCAAGGAAGAAAGGCAAGGAAGAAAGGCAAGGAAGGCAGGAAAAAAGGAGAGAAAAAAGGTAAAAAAAAGGCAAGAAAAAAGGTTAAAAAAGGCAAGAAAAAAGGTTGAAAAAGGCAAGAAAAAAGGCAAAAAACAGGCAAGAAAAAAGGTAAAAAAAGGCAAGAAAAAAGGCAAGAAAGGTGAGAAAAAAGGCAAGAAGAAAGGCAAGGAAGGCAGGAAAAAAGGAGAGAAAAAAGGCAAAAAACAGGCAAGAAAAAAAGGTAAAAAAAGGCAAGAAAAAAGGCAAGAAAGGTGAGAAGAAAGGCAAGGAAGAAAGGCAAGGAAGAAAGGCAAGGAAGAAAGGCAAGGAAGAAAGGCAAGGAAGAAAGGCAAGGAAGAAAGGCAAGGAAGAAAGGCAAGGAAAAAAGGAGAGAAAACAGGTAAAAAAAGGCAAGAAAAAAGGTAAAAAAAGGCAAGAAAGGTGAGAAAAAAGGCAAGAGAATTTTCTCGTTTGCTTCTCCTGCCATTGGCTGTGGCCTCCCTGGACACGATCTCATCACTGTATCTGCACGCTGCTACAGGAGCTGGACACGAACGCCATGGGAGAGCAGCGCCAGCCATTTGGGCAAAGAGGAGGCAGAGAAGGCAAAACCCAATCACCATGGGGTTGGAGTCTGAGATGAGATCCTTGAGGGTGTCCAGGAAGCCCTGGTCCTCCACCAGCTGGGCGTTGATGTCGTGCAGCTTGGCCACGCAGACGGCGGCCGTCTTGCGCACGTAGGGGTCCTCGTCCTTGAGGCACTTGCGCAGGGGCTCGCACAGGTACTCGGTGATCTTGTCCACGCGGATGCAGCCCATGGTGCGCACGGCCAGCGCCCGGATCAGCGGGTTCGGGTCCTCACAGTCCTGCAGGGGTGGCAGAGGAGCTCTGAGATAGGGATAATGAGCTCTAGGAGGCCTGTAACACACCCAGTGTTGTGGTGTGATTTCAGAACCTCGGATCCCTTCCTGATAATTCCCTGCCAGGTGTGTCAGTCACCTCTCCTTTCCACACCCAGCACTGTCCATCAATCCTGGCATTCCAGAAGTGATTTGCAGATTCAAAAGATGCCCACTATCCCAGGGGGCCATTGGGCCATCCAGGTGTCCTTTGTCCCTTTGTCCCTCCCCTCCTGTCCCTGCTTGGTGGCTCCCTGCCTCTCTCCCCGGGGTTAAAGGAGCAGCAACCACGGGCTCAGGGAGTTCTGCTGGAGCTGGTGCTGCATTCAGAGGCCTGTGGGCCAGAATAAAGCTCTGGATCCAAACCCTCCATCAGAACCGACTCCTTTCCTTCACCATCCCCTTAAAGCTTCTCCACAGAGGGAAACCTGAGGAGCAGCCCCTGTTATGGGGGAAAGCTCCATCCCAGCACCACCAGAGCTCCTGCAGGCCTGG